GCTGTATTTTCTGAATATTGAAATACTGGCAATGTCTACTTTAATACACTGTATGTTGAGTGTTTGTTCATATTTTTGTACCTTCAGCTGAGTATTTTTGTGATGAAGATGGGAAGGTACATAGCATTGACAAACAAAGATGGCAGACATATGAAGATTGCTGGCAGAACATTAATACTGATATACAGGTATTGAGGTTTTATGGATATTTTCATGTGAATTATATTAAACAAATCCTATCTGGGACTAAAACAAAAAAGAAGCAAATTGCATCTTGGGGGTTTGTGAGACACAAATGCCAATGAGGAAGCCGAAATTTATTGTCTAATAGATCAATTTCTCATTTTGGGTAATTTAAGTTAAGAATTCAGCATCGATCTAATTCAAATATAGAGTGCAGTATTTTGTCTGTTAGTAGTGTATGCACTCGCGTAAATTTCAGAGATTTTCTTATGTTCAAACAAGTAATATTTTCTTGACTTATTGTACAACAAATGCAATTTTAGATTTATATTCATCTATGTGCTTCTAATAGAGCAAATATAGTGGTCTCAATAAATTTGCTTTTGTGGCGAGACCTTTGTTTTACCTTACCTTGACTTGTATGTTGATTTATTTTATATTTTTTTAGAAATTACAGAGTGAAGTTAACAGTAAAATATTCGTAGATTTGGTAAATTTCATCCAGAGATCTCATCAAGAATTCCAACTCCAGAATGAAGGTGATAATGATTGCAGTTCCAAAAAAAAGAAGAAAGTTATTCATGAAATCCCAACAGCTGCTCTTATAACAGGTCAGAATTCAGTTATGATAGGTCAGAGGTCACTGTATTAAGTTATATCAGGTCAGAATTCAGTTATGATAGGTCAGATTTCACTGTTTTTTGGAAATGCGTAGCGTGTTTACACACATAATCCAATAACATTATCATTAATAAAATCTGATATTGACGATATATCTAGCTCTGTTATTTACAGTATCTGTAATACAAGCATGTTTGAACTAAGCTTATTTTGTCTATTTTAAAGGACAGTGGTTATTGGTTATGATTATCACATGACCATAAATACGTGGAATGCAATCACATACATTTGTTTGCTGCTTTAGATTTAAACTGTTTATTCATAACACATGTGCCATCTGATCTAAGATGTCCATTCACTGGTTATTACAAATTTAGCATCACTTTCTTAAAGGACCAACTAAGAGTTATTTTGATTTTTGAAATAGGCATTAATTTGAGCTGTATACAGTTATTTTAAAACTTTGGATTTGTCTGATAAATGAAACCATTGATTAATAAGGTCCTTATCGGTTCTAGTGATAAAATCATCCAGCCTGCACAGAAATCTAATCCACTCTACAGAACAAATACTGCATCAATAACCAATGCTGCCAACATGCTCATAGAATTTTACAGTAACCCCTCGCTAAAGTGGCAGATTTCGGGATTTAAGCAAAAAATTCTTCGAGAATAGACAGTGGGTAAATTTTGCTGCTGAGTTTGGTACTAAAGATCAGAATGATGGATTGTTTACATTGCAGTGAGTTTTATAGGGCTTGTTAAAGGCGAGTTGTCACCTTAAACCGAGCTGCCGTCGTCTTTTCAATCCAGTAATTGACAGGACAATAAGTGTTAATGCAGATGACATCACCATGGTTTGCAAAACTCTGGCACTGATTGTCTTACACAGAATCTTTAACAGCTAATTAATTGCAAAACTACTGCTATAGCTGGCAAGAGGTTATTTTGGAAGCCATCCAATTAATTTAGTCGATATTGTGACTTACTGAGGCACAACTTACTGACAGGTCAATGTATATAAATAAATTTCAATATGCTTAATTATCAATTTGTTGGAATTTCTCTCATTTGGCAATTAATGCTGTAATTATGGTACGTCTATATTTGTAGGTGTTAATACTCCGGACCATAATGACATGTTTTGTCAGTTATTGACTTTATTACGTGATAAGATTACACCATATATAGCACTATTGGGATCAAAAGACTGTAATAATGTGAAATCAACGATGATGAAATTATTATCACAATTAATGGGATCCACCAATCATGTGAGTATTGCATCATCTCCAATTACCATGGTAACATAGAGATGTTGTAAATTAGCTAAACTGTGATATTGATGATAATACATTGTCTCTGTTGTTACAAATGTCATATTACTTTTACTTTAGTTTTATATGTATTGTACTTTATTACTAACATTTTATTGCTGTCAACCAATGGAAACTATTTCCAAGGATGCAATCAATTCATTATTATTATTATATAAAAGTGAGATCAAGAACATCCTTATTGTGTTACAATGTAATACAGTTGTGGACAGAGTGTTGGTATGGTATTTATTCTACAAATAACTATACTGTGTAAAACTAACAGCAACGAGTTTCTATGTACCGGTACTACTATGCTGGATGATTGTAAAAAGAACAATGTTGAAAATAATGTTTAATAATGTATCCACGTACATTGGATACCAGGACCAAATTTCAAATTAAGTAAAAAAAAAGGTGGTTACACTAGTTGGAAACAAATCTTTATTCTGAACATCTGATATACCCAATAATGCATTTGTATGACAAATTCCCAAAATTGAATAAGAGCTACTGAAATCATCTAGCCAATCATAGACACTGTATTGAACTATGATAGGAGTGTTTTTATTGGCTACCGAACTCTAGCCAATCAAAAGATGTCTGTCAGTCTATCCATCCTATATCTAAAATTAAATGCTGTAAAATTTTACTTGCCATCTGTAATGAATAGTTGAGTCTGCAAAAATCAAATTAAAATACGACTTGTATCAAATAATAAAATTATATTACATTACATGCAATTAATAAAAATTGCTGTCAGTAATAATTAAGTTTTTTTTTCAGCTGGACGATGATGATGATGAAGATTCACCAGATATTAATATGAGGCGTATTCCTTGCACTATGCCAGTATTGTGTGGATGGTATAAAGACAAAACACAGGTAACCTTGGTTTCTATTAATAATATTGTGGTATTGTTATATTGTGTTAATAGAAAAAATTAAATATTTCTGTTAATTGTAGCTTCATGCAGGCTGAAAGTATTGTTGCCCCTTCAATCCCATAATCTTGTACACAAAACAATGTACTTGAAAACTTTAAAAATACAGCTTTTGTGGAACATTACCAAGATTTATTATATTTTCAGAAGTCCAGGTCTGTGATAAAATCACCTCGTAGGTCACCTGGAAAGTCACCGCACAAGTCACCTGGTAAATCACCCCGTATAGAATCTCAGATGCATTACTCTCGATACCCACCCATTGTCTTGGTATTGGAAGACTTTGAGAATTTCAAACCCCATGTGTTACAGGACTTACTTATTATATGCAAGTAAGTTGTTATATATTTATAATAAGATATTGTGCTGCAAAAAGGTTTGAACAAACGCCAGCACCGATTGTCTCGCACCGAATCTTTAACAGCTAAATAATTACCACTATAATAGGTTTTGTTTTTAAAAAGGTTTCAGAATTTAAGATTAAAGTGATGTTGATGCTAACTTTGTAAATACCTAAAACACTTCGATTGGAAATATTCTTCTCTTCGGATGGGGAATCTAATAGACACTTTTAGCCATGGTTAATTCTGTTGTAGACAGATTTCATTTTTGAAAAATTAATACTATGTTGACGTTGAAAAACTTGTATCTTGTTTCTTTTTTTGCTGTGACTGTAACTTTTATTTTATTTACAGTCAGTATTTGTCAGAGCTGCCGATAGTTTTGATATTTGGTATAGCAACAGCTGTCACAGCAGTACACAGATTATTGCCTCATGCTGTGTCTTCATTATTATGCATTGAGAAATTCCAAGCACAGCCAGCAACAGAGTATCTAGCACAAGTCATTG